AGGAGTTCATGATGTGTTTCAGGTTTCCCAGTTGAAGAAGTGCCACGCAGAGATGGCTGATATACCTCTGAGAGATACAGTGCCACTGGAAGCGATTCGGCTGGATAGTGATTTGACCTACGAGGAGAAACCAGTGAAGATTCTCGAGTTTGCCAGCCGAGTCACACGCAACAAGGTTATCAAGTTTTGCAAAGTTCAGTGGAGCCACCATACCAAGGAGGAAGCCACCTGGGAACGAGAGGAAGACCGACGAAAGGACCACCCGCACCTATTTTCTAGCCAACCCGAATCTCGAGGGCGAGATTCATCTTAAGGGGGGTAGGTTTGTAACATCCCAAATTTTCAATTTGGAATGTTATACATAGGACATCATATGCATATCATGTTTTATTACATTTTGGTTGATCCTAGAAATTCTAAGCAACTCAAGGACCCACGAAGAGAGTTGGGGGTTTCAACTATTTTCATATTTGAGTTTTCTCAAATATTGAAAAGAGGATCATTTTGGTTTTAATTATTTTTCTTATCAAATATTTCCAATGTCAAAATAAAAGAGAGGGGATAAAATGACTTCTCCAAAATAAAATAAATATTGGAGGGAAAATGTTAAAATCAATTAAGTATTTTATTTTGGAGTTTATCGCTATTTTATTTGAATTAGAAAAATTGCACATTTTAAAAAATTGCATTTTAGGCCAAAAAAATGTTCGCTTTGTTCTAAATATTTCATTTAGACAGCGAAAATTGGTTTTGGCATTTTTCGAAATTTTTTATTTTTTCTAGGATTTTTTTAAGTTCGGCGAGATTATTTTAAAAAAAAGTTTCATGCCCGACTAGGCCGGAGCCCAGCCGAGCAGGCCGGCCCGCCAAGCACCGCTGCCCTCCCCGCCGTGCTCGCGGCGGACTCCTCTCGGAGTCCGGCTGGGAGCCGTCGCCGGCCGCCCCTCCCCTAAGTCGGCCTCCGCCCCGACCCCCCTATTTAAGTCGCCGCCCCGCCGCCCTCTCCAACACCCGCCACCGCCTCCCCGCCACCCGCCGCCGCCGCGCTGCCGCCTCCTGTCCCATGCCGCCGTCCTCCGACGCCCCACGCCACCGCGCCGCCCCGCCGGAGCCTCGCCGAAGCTAGCCGCCGCCGTCGTTATGGTTTTTTTTTTAAAAAATTGTTCAGTTTTTTTAACCCTAGATCTAGTTTTTTGTTATTATTAGATCGGTTCCTTTTTTTCGGTTTAGTTAGTTAGCGAACGTTCGTCCGTACGTTCATTTTAACGAACGTTGTTCGTCAGTTAGTCGCAGAGAGCGAACGTTCGTTCGTTAGCCTGTTGTTCTCGTTTTGTTTTTCCAGGGTTTATTTGCTATTATTTTCGATCTCGATTTCTGCCCCGATCTTCGATCTAGTTTATCTTTTCACTCGTTTATCCGAATTAGATGAAAAAAGCGCCCAGATCTTCGTCTCGAAGCCCTTTTTCTGTTTAACCAACTTGAACAAGATTTTGGTACTGTAAAATTTGAATTTAGTCCAGATTAGTAAATGATTCTTGTTTCTTTCGTAGTTTGAGTTTTGTTGCTCCGTTTGATTTGTTCTTTTTGCAAACCAGAGTTCTTCAGTTAAACTTTCTGGTTAGATCTTCTTATTTGAGTTTTACCCGTGCTTCTAGCTTGAGTGCTTATATATGTTGTTGTTTGTTTGCGATAGAATTCTCGGAGTGCGAAGCGTGCTACTACGAGTCTCTAGGTTTTGCGGATCATCGGCAAGGCAAGTAACACTTTGATCATATCTCTTTGTTACCAAGTTTTTATGCATTAGTTCAATCCTCAAACATTGCATGAGTAGGTTTGATAACATGTGGGTTTGGGAAGTAGATGATGAGGTAGAACCCATTGCCCTTTTATTATCAAACCTTTGGGAGTTACTTCTACGCTATGCTCAGGATTGCTATGCTATGCTCGTAGACGTGGATCGGGTGAGTGTATCCATGACAGATGTGAATATTGTTAATTTATGGTTAACTTAAGGTGGCTACTTAAATACACATTTGGATGGATTGGTTGAGGCACCCTGGAGTACCCAGTGGTTGTCAGGGCACCTGGAGAATCCAGTGTTGCCCAAGGGGATCCCGGAGTACCTGTGTGATTACCCTATGGAATGCCACCCAGGCTCAAAGGGATCATAAGATTATTCATGCTAGAAACTTCCATGTGCAATCACAAGCTATTATGGGCTCTAGCATAGTTGAGTAAGTTGCATGACCTCTTTCAGTGGTGGGCTGGCAGATGTAGGGGAAAGTAGGTGTAACTGTCCACCCAGAGTAAAGAGTTAATGTTTCTGAAAGACTATGTCTCGGTCATCCGTTTCTCAAACACCATGTAGTGCGAGAAAGTAACGGAGGAGATCGAGTCTTGTGGGGAAAAGTGCGCAAACCTCTGCAGAGTGTACAAACTAATCATGGTTAGCCGTGTTCCCGGTTATGGACATCTTGAGTATCTGGTTCTTGGATTATCATGTTGATCTAATCACTCTAATTAATTTGTTGGGTTATTGATGATGTTTAATTGGGATTGAGTTGGAGGAACCTTCTCAATGTTTAACAACCACCATGATAGTTAAATAAAATTTATTCCTTTGTTGTAGGAAAAAATTTGCTTTATGCAAAACAGTAACCATAGAGCTTTCCACCAGCCATATATGCATGTAGTGATAGCATTTATTATGTTCATTACTCTGTGTGTTACATTGCCTTCATGTTTTCCTTTCTTTGTTTTAATTTTAGGATGAAGTTTAACATGGATAAATCCAGGCTAAACTGGGGGCTAATGTTGGGGATATTACCCCTGACTAAAGACCCGGCTCTAGGTCTGACCCGGCAAAGTGCCTAGAAGCACTATGGGTCGCCCAACTTTCCAGGTCATGATAACACAACAAGGAAAGGAGTAAAGGCTCGTATCAAGACCCGGCCTTTGGTCGGCTCATAAAGAGGCCTAGTGGGCCGACTTATAGAGAAGGCCCATATACAGAAGATTCCCTAACTTGGGAGGCGAGATGAACAAGAGTTAGAGTAAGACACGGGTTGACAGTATGACCCGAACTCTGTTATAAACCTAGGGACTCAACCTATTATATAAAATGAAACCTCTAGGACGAAAAGACTTAAGTTGCAATCTCTCGAGAGTTAGGTTAGCGAATCTGCATCCTTGTAATCGAGATCTCCAGCAATATCAATCAAGCAGGAAGTAGGTCTTTACCTCCATCGTAAGGGGCCGAACGTGGGTAAACTTGTGTCCTTCGTTCCCGGCCAACCCGTTCAAGCAACCACCTAGTTGCGATGGCCTCCAGACTTAGTCCGTTTATGAGGATATCTGCTGTGACAAAACCACGATTGGGATGGTCCAGTTTGTTGATCTTGGTGTGTGGTCATCCTTCATCCACTATGAGGCCAACATTGTCTTCAACCTTGGCCTTTGTTGACCAGAGCCATATGAGGCCTTGCCATGGTGTTTGCGTTCGCTATTGGTCATGAGCTCCTGACACTCATCGGTGGCGAGTGGTGAGTTGGTAGGCGGTGGGACAGATATCTGGCTGCTACTACACCTGGTGGTGATGACTGTGCCTGCGTACATATGTGTGGCTTTCCATTCGCTTGTTCCAACCCTTGCTGAGTCAACACGTATATTTTCTTCATACAAGTGCATAACTGTTGAGCTCCAATTTCTTTTTCCTTTTTGCCAGGGTTGCAACTACAAAAGGGGCTTTTTGGTCCCTCTCACGTGCTTTCTGACCATAATAATATATGAAGGGAAATCTGCCAAAAAATGAAAGTACAAACCTCCCGACGTATGAATGCACACAAAGAAACCACCAAAGATCCCAAAACTACCCATGAGCGAAGAACGTGGTACTCAAAGACAACACCTTATAAAAGGAATTATCACATGTACCCCAATGTTGCTAGGTCTAACCAAGAGGTCAAACGGTGTGGTTATCACGCCTAAAACGAAACTCTGAGCCAACACTTCAACAAGAGTATCATGTATGTACGTCCAACATTTTTACTCTAATTGAAAAGTAGAGGCATGGTGTCTTCACCCCCAAAGAACACACACTCGTTGTCGATGCTATTGTTGTCATCTAACCTTGTTGCAGGTGAAGGTCTGAGCATCACGAGCCCGTCTCGATGTAGAAAGAGCTATTGACCCGCTCACTTCAAAGGAGAGCCACAAAAGCATGATGCCATCATGTCCACCACGTTCGGCATGTTGCACCACCATTCTGGACTGCGTACATCGATTTCGTCCACACCCACATCAATTGCCCCAAAGCCTACCCGAGATCCACCGCCAACACCAATTCGGGCATGAACTCCTCCCGACAAGATGCAAGTCGGTCTCACCCATGGTCAATCATCACTCGCATCCCTCCGCACCATGTGAAGACACGATGCCGCCGAGAAGGATTCGTTGCCAAGACACGATGTCGCCGAGAAGGAGTCGTTACCGAGGTCGACGACCTGACTTGGAGACCCACCGTCCAACGACAGCACTAGCGAAGCCGGGATCGTGTGAGGAGTGATATATTGGATCACCTCCAAGGTGAGGCAACATATAAATCAGCTCCATTAGTGGAGGAAGCGGAGGTAGGGGCGGGATTGAATTGTGGCGGTTTAGGGTATCCGCATGGTATCTACGGTCACCCTGGTGGTCGTTGCACACGGTTGTGGGCTAACATTTGTTGTTTTAGAAGATGCACACGTAAATTCTTCTTCTTCTTTTGTGCATAAAAATTCTTCTTTCTTTAGGATTACCATAACAAAAATTGCAAGTATATATAACTAGTGCAGGAACTCCACTCTAGAAAGAATAGCAGCATATACCAGCCGGGCCAACTGACAGGCCGGCCTCCCCCGTCAGTCAGTCAGACAGGTAGGGCAACCAATCAGAAAACACAAAATCTTCCTCTATAGCCGATCGAGGCGCGCGCCAAAGGAACAAAAATAAGTATGGAGGCCCTACGGCCGCAGCGGCCGGAGATGGACGGGCACGCCGTACTTGGGGCGGAGGGTGAGCACGTTGACCGGCGCGTGGCGGTAGTCATCGGAGATGGTGAAGCGGAAGTTGGCCAGCAGCATGGCGAGGACGACCTTGGCCTCGAAGAGGGCGTACGCCTGCCCGACGCAGTTGCGCGGCCCGGCCGCGAACGGCAGGAACCGGCCGGCGCCCGCGGATGAGCGCCGCCCGGCGGCGAACCGCTCCGGGTGGAACTCATGCGCGTCGGCGCCCCAGATGGACTCGTCGTGGTGGATTGCCAGCACGGGTATCCATACCGAGAGCCCGCGCGGCAGGTGGAGATCGCCGAGCCGAATGTCCTCGAACGCCATCCGCGGCAGCAGCGTCGCCGGCGGGTACAGCCGCAGCGTCTCGTGGATGATCATCTGGAGCTGCAAGTTCGCGCGCACAGAGGAAAAAACGTTAAGATTCTCGCCATGAGCCAAATGATCAAATGCCATAAGACTTTGCTTACGTATGCATGTGCACCGTACGACTTACCACGGTCAATTTGGAGAGCTGGTCGGCGGACGGCGGGTCGTCGCCGCAGACCTGGGAGACCTCGGCGCGGGCCTTGTCCTGCCACTCCGGGTGCGTGGCGAGCAGCATGAGCGTCCAGGTGAGCAGCAGCGCCGACGTCTCGTGGCCGGCGAAGAAGAAGGTCTTGCACTCGTCGATCACCAGCCGCGTGTCGTAGCTGAACTTGCCGTCGTCGCCTGCACCCTTCTCCCTCTTCTTCTCCATCTCCGCGAGCAGCATGGCGAGGAGCCCCCGGCCGTAGGTGGAGGTCGTCCGGCCCTCGTCGGCGATCTCGCGGCTCCGGCGGATGGACTCCATGACGACGCCCTCCAGCTCGCCGTTCAGCCGCCCGATCTCCCTCCTGTACTTGCTCGGGAAGTACCTGCACGTACGGCAGCAACACGGATCGATGAGGCCATGATCGGCGGAACACTCTCGTCCTCGAGCACATGTAGTGCACACTTGTTTACTCGTATGTGCGCGTACGGCAATGGACATATGCGCACGCACGGATGCGCCAGTGGATGATGGAATCAAACCAAAGCGCCGGACAAATTGGAGTCAGTGCCACTGCCCAAAAACTAACTGGACAGGGATGGGCTGCGCCTGCACGACACATAGTTATCTAAGACCAATTACTGTGCTATACCGGCTTAATCGGCTTGTTTATCTTAAGCTGTTAGGATAATTCCACACATTAGACGCGCGTATGCACTATGCGAGATGTGGCCGCAAGTGAACGAAAGTGGCGACAAGGGCCAGGCAAGTAACGAGGGAGTGAGTGGTGTGTTCGAGGCAAGAGAGGATCGAGCTGGCCGGCCGGGAGGGGAGGGCGATCGTGACTCACTGGCTGCCGGGGATCCAGAGGTAGCGGCTGGAGCGCGCGGTGAGGCGCTGCAAGTCCTCGAGGAGGTGGAAGATGCGCTTGCCGGTCTCGTAGCTGGTGTCGAACTCGGTCCGGGAGATGATGTCGCCGGTGAGCCGGGTCATGTGGCCGCCGATCTCCACCTCGCCGCGGCCCCGCGCCGCCGCATCCCGCAGCGACAGGATCGTCTGCTTCGTGCACTCCACCATGTGCCCCACACGCCCCTGCGTTGCGTACACGTACGGCGCGGTCAGGCAAACGAACCGGTAGAAATTGATGGCAATGCCACCATGTGTTCGACGGTGCGCATGCGTACCTTGAGCTTGTCAGGCATGAACGCCGGCGCGACGACGTGCCGCTGGTGGGACCACCTGGCGCCGTTGGCCATGAGCAGGCCGCGGCCGATGAAGTTCTTCGTACCCTGCCGCTGCAGCCACGACTTGCCGGTGGCGTGGGCGTACTTGGACGACAGGAACTCCTTGATCATGTCCGTGTCCGTCAGGCACAGCCGCGGCTCGCTCCCGTACCAGTACACGAAAAGCTTCCCTGAAACGCGGAATCCCCATAGGTCAGTACGTACGCACGCCCGGCGGCCGGCGCGCAAGCGCAATGCGGTGGGGGCTGTCTTAAATTCTCACCGTATGTCTCCGACCAGAGCACGTAATGGGGCATGAGGCGGCCGACGATGTCGTGGCTCAGGGACGTCATGTCGCCGGCGTTCGCCTCCGCAACGAGGGCCGACACCTGGCGTAGGTTGCCGACGAGCGGGCGCGGCGAGGGACCGTGAACACCCTGCGCCGCCATGGTTCTACGGATACTCATTGGCGTCAGGAAGTAGCAAGATAGGGTCACCCATAGCGCCCTCAGCAACAACACCGAGACAGCCGAGGCGATGGCAGTGATCATGGCCGCCATGAACGCCATTAGAGAATAGGTAGGATGTAATAAAGAGAGAAACTGAGATAGCGAGAATTGGAGGCGTTACTCCTAGCTGCCGCCTGCAATGCAGGCTTTCCCTGCGCTTCTCTGGGCTATATATATACTGATAGAGCCGGAGATTATTGGCACGTAGTAATAAACTTCTCAAATACAAATACCCTATTAAGATATTCTATTTCCTAAGATCGGTTTCCTTTTTACTTTTTATTATTACTCCCTCCGTCCCAAAATTCTTGTCTTAAATTTGTCTAGATACGGATGTATCAATTTTGGAACGGAGGGAGTATTTGCTAAAAAAAACGTCTATCTTCTTTTCTTTCGTATCATAAACGGGCACGACTTGTTTACTGACTGATAAGGCGAGAGACAGTGCATTACCGTGTGAGAGAAAGGTTATTCTCCTCTGGTGCGGTCACTCCATTAGTGGGCGCCTTAATTAGAGACTAATCTACGGGATTGGATTGCTATGTGCCGAGAGGGTTTACTTGTTTATTTAGAAGCAATTGATGTGGTCAATCTATCTTCCCACTAGCAAAAGTAGTAGTGTATCACTCATATTTGGAAGCCATTTATTTCTCATAAAGATTTTGGGATATAAAGGAGGCGATTCTTAATTAGCTGCTAATAATATTCGTCCAACCTATGGCCAGAGCCTATTTCAAGATCGGTAGAGATCAGGCACAAAGATCCTACCAAATTCATATGCCAAAAGTTGCATATACATACCGGAGTCCTAATATCCACATATACATATATACAGAAGAACATCTGGAATCGCTGACTGACGGGTGGGCTCAATGGACGCCAAGGAACTAGACGACCGCTATACAATAATTCTTACTCAATTTATGCAAAATGTTCCCTTCGTATGCATAGCTTACGTGCCACAGAAGAGACAACAATATTGTACACACAGAAATTCCAAAATGGGCACTCGAGTACTAATTATAAGGCTGATTAGGCAGCGGCATTAGAGGTCCAGCCCCAGGATTTCTTGTCTGAATCGGGCTTAATTTAGAGTATCAGTGTGCCATCTTTGCATAGAGTATGCAATAACCTGGTCAATCCCTTAAAAAGAATTGGCAAATCTCATTCAGCATCGATAGCTTTACATATTCTCCATTCCCTCTCCCTGCACTTTCCCCATGGACGATTCCGATAGGAAACATAACCCATGGATGGTTCTGAAACAAAGTTTTTCTTCTTCTGACAAGAGGCATAAACTAGCTTAGCAATCCTGCAAACGAAGCCTGAAAAGTGCAAAAGGAGGCCATTTTTGTTTTTGTTTTTCAACATCAAGCCAATTAAGCCTAGCTAGTTCTCTGCACCTCCGGCAACTTGGAGAAAGAAAATGCTGTGTGCTTGAGCTTTAGGCATGCGTACAAAACCTTAGCCTCACACAATATGATTGTTTAGTGTGGAGCTCTCACATTTGTATATGCCAGGAAAGAAAGGAGAGAGCTCATGGTTCAGTTGGAAACAGAAAACAGCGTGAATGAGCTGTACCCGATCGAAGCAAAGTCGGTGCACCGGCAAATCCTGCTAAGTGCTCCTGCTAGTGACGGTTTAAGACGAGCGGTTTAGCTCTCTGCGAGTGATGATCTGATTTGACAATTCTTTCCTCCGGAAGATTTGGTTCACACACACTCATGCGGTGAGAAAAGATAACTGAAGGCCGAGTCGGTGCTGCTGCTCTCTTGCTGAAGTCTCAGGCAGTTTTCGCTGTTGTCGGCTTTCGGTCAGACTGTAAAAGTAGGAAGCGCTCGCCGTAAGACCGGCTGTCAGTTGTAACCCCCTCTATAGTCAAGAATTAGTCAGAGCACCTGCCATTTTTTCAAAGAAATGAACTGCAAGCTTTCTGTTGCTGAAAAATGAGCTGAAACTGAACCTTTACCCCGCTCTGTAGAACAAGCAACCTTTGTCATGACGTTTGAATTACAGTCTCTCTTGCTAGGAATGTGGATGACCACCTGGAGCATGCAAGGCGGCCACTAGGCGGTGTGTTGGAAAAAATTCTCCAAGAATTTATATTATGAAGATAGTGGAAGAATCGTCCTCCGATCTCTGCATAATTCGCCTACACGCACATACCCTTGTCTTTGAAGAGGCCAGAAGATATCCTTCTCCTTCAGTTTTACTCACCGTGCGGTGCTACACCGATCCGCTGGACCCGAACCCCGGTGCAAACGCTGGCCATGAGACATTACAAAAACGGGAAAATAACCAGGAACGTATCTTGGAGCCGTTCCATCTTCCATGGGAGCGATTCTGCTATGGAATATCCTGCACGCATCATGGGCAAGAAATCCATCCCTCGTGCCCAAATTTTTATAGCTTTACTTACTTATCACAGGATATCTTGCCATTGCCGGTGGGCATCTCCCAGCTCAGCGACTTAACTTGGCCAGCTTATCGCAAGCTAAGACGAAGAAACAGTCACCAGTTAGCGAGACACTGATTATATTTAGCAAGCACATGTTCACACCCCTAGTTAATGAGATCTGTGGAGTGTGCATGTAAATATAGTGTAACTCGTACGTCACACCGATCTCAGAATCTCAGTCAGACATAGCATAGCCACGGAGAACTCTGACTTGTGCAGTGGTTTTGCTTTCTTAGAATGTTTATGGCAGCTATTAGCTGAGCTCTGCATATTCAGCAAGCAACTTGGTGGTAGACTATATCGGTTTGATTCTTCTGAACCTTTGAAAGAAACCCGGCGACGAAAGCCGCTTATAAACTTTAATAGGACTTTGTTAGATTAGTGGCACCGTTTGTCTGTCCGCCATTCTTTTTGACAGTTCCTCCAACTTGGCCACTGATTTTATCTATGTTCTTACAGCTCATATATGTTGTCTATGTTACTGACTAAACTAAACTTCAGTCTTAGCTTAGCCGTATGTCCTGGCACTTAGAAACCGTGTGGCGTTAGTTTTTTTTTATTGTAAGCTAGTGCGGCGCTAGGTTTTTTTTAGCTAGTGTGGCGCTAGGTGGACTGCTTTGTTTTTCTGAGGAATAGCTAGGGTTTTTTTTTAGGCAAACTGAGGAATGGTTTTTTTTTGTGAGAAAACTGAGGAATAGCTTAGATGGACTGCCAGCCCAGTTTCCCTTCTTTTTAGAGGAGAGGCTGCTAGGCCAGCTGGGCCATACATTCAGGGCCTGTGGGCCAAACCCTCAGCCCATTCTACTACTACCCCGAACACGTTTTGGGCCTAAACAGCTCACCGCATCGGCCATCGGACAACTGCCTTTTGGGGTAACTTTCGCCCAGAGTCGAACCCTATATTTCGTGAGGCGAAAGGAGGCGTACGGCGCCTGGAAAGGATCCCCGGTACAGCTCAGAAAGCCAGGATACTGAGGGATCCCTGCGGACGACGCCCCGTGTGCACTCCGTGTGGCCGGTGAACCTCGGGCCGTGGCTGGGTGTGCGCCGCGGTTCGGTTGGTCCCGCACGGTGTCTGCTGTTACGGAAGGCATGAAACAGGACGCCGAGTTAATACGCCGCCGTCTGCTGCTATTTGGAAGGAGATCTTGCACTTACACCCCTGCGTTGGTTGAGTTGTTTTAAGTAGGGGCTGGCTAAACTTGCGGGCACAAGTATAATTCTTTCCTTGAAAAGCATAGGGAAGAATGATCCGGTGTGCTCACATATATTGTTTTTTTTAGGTAAGTGTGCTCACATATATAGCATGTACAGTTGCTCTCTTTCTTTGAGTTTTTTTTTTGGCATGGTAAGTGTCTTATTCATATGATAAAGATCAAAGTACAAGAAACGTACGAACCGAGATAACAAAACTGAAAAGATGGCAGAACATCTCTGAGTTTGAGACCAACGTCCATCACCCGCCTCTGACACCACCATAGCAGCCACCGAAGAATAGAATGACGGATCACCTCCTCATCCGAGCTCGACGCGGCTCCATCGTTGATATGCAGCTTTGCGGTCCTCCAAGGTGGCTCCCCAAAAGTGAAGTCATTGTCGTTGAACGAGTCAGACCAGGCAACGCCCCGGACATACCATCGAACTCCAGACCTGACACCCCACCACGATTAAGACACCGAAGGAGGAAATTACACCTGCCATCCATCAAACATGAACCTGGCACACGTTCCATCCTTCAGATGTCGTCGATGCAGACCACAATATGCGTCCGCTCCTGGAGTACCTGCCAAGCTTCGCGCCGACGCTGGAGCAGACGTCGTCATAACGGCGGAGCCCGAGGACACATGTCCACCACGAGGATACCGTCGCCACCACACCGTCCTTGCTTGAAAAGACTGGATTTCAAATTCATCCCCAGCGATAGGACCATCGTCTCATCGGAGTATGATCTGAAGAAACTTTATTCAGCGTCGCCATCGCCGCCACTGAAGCCAAGACGATGAATAGCCTAAAAACTAAGCTAATTTGGCCTAAAACTATCCACACGCGTGGATCTGGCGACCCCCTCACCACCGATGACGGAGGTCGTCGACAGAGGAGAGTCGCTGAAGAACGGCGGTGAAGTGTGAGTCCCTGGCGGCGGAAAGCTAGATCGTTTTTCCTTTCTTTGAGTTTATGCGGACCATGTTGATTGTACCTAGGTAGAGGTTACAAATCGTCCTTGTTCTATGTGTGGCAAAGATACAACAATGTATGCAACTAGAAAAAACAAGAGAAACACACTATACCAGTGAAGATTTTCCTACAAAAAATCATTTATGAGCCTCGACTTAGCTGCTCTCGACATCCTAACCATCAGTTCTCCTTGAGATTGGCGTTGTATGCTGTATCAAGGGTTGTATCTCTCCCGTATATTCACTAGAACTAAAAATGTCCCGTCGCATTAATTCTTGGTAGATTACGTTACGAGTCTTCTAGTACATTATAGCGATAGACGGCCCAACAAACAACCAATTTGAAAAGATATATTTTGCATCGCGTCGTAAAACCACATTCGCGCTATAGTTGCCCTAAAAGAAAATCCGCGCTATACTTGATTCAAGAACTTCCATACAACTAATCCAGTGTGGCACATGTACGACAATGCATGGAATTAGATTATCACAAGGCAGTATACATCTTCGTCCATCCACGCACGCATTAAGATTCACCTTCCAATGGATTCAACAAACTGCATCGGCGATGCATTGTTTCTCAATGCCACTTTCTTCTCGGACTCACAGATCATATGGTCTTTGATTGCCTCGTTGACACGACATTGTAGTGAACATGCAAAGGGCAGACCACTCACACCTCAGTGCACCTGCCTACATCACCAACATAAAAAAGCGACACAGGAAACTAAATCAAACATCTGTTAGCTAGAGCATGAGGAAACTCAGGTCTGGGGATCGGAGATTGTTGTGCCTATCAACTATATCTAGTGGGAACTTCATGCCTTCATCCACCATGGTCCGCCGCGTTTTTGCCCCGGTGGACACACTCCCATGTCCAGCGAGTAGTCTACACGAAGGTGAGCAGTGCCGCTTGACAAACTGGGCCATGGCTCCGATGGATCAAACGTTGTTGTTCCATGGATCAGAATCGCGAGACAGACAATACCGCCTATCCAAAATTGAATTGCACTCACGCCGTATGCAATGGCCCTGTCGTACTAACTGTTCACACCAATATATCTTCAATACTAGACTTTTCAGCGGAACCAAACTGAACACTTGAGCCTCCATTTTCCGAATCTCAATAGCACATGCAACGACCATGATTACTAGAATATGAGCATCGAAACCAAAACGCCCCTCTCATTTTTCTGTGCTTACTCAAGAACTGATGGAGGTGTAGATTTCCTGGCATTTGATTGTGTGTTAAATTTACAATGGTAATCACCGTTTTTTTACAACAAGGTAGTTTAAATATTTTTGATGTTTAACAATTATATTGATTTTCAATACCTTTCGTGGCGCTCTTAACAAATTTAGTTAGTTATAAGACATTTATTAAAGATAATCATAAAGGGGCTACACACATGGGCTTATTGTGGAGTCTTTGATGCTTTCTAATCCTAAAACCGATAGTAACAGACCACGTGGCGCACGTGGTAAGCAACTCAAACTTGATGTGAAAAACACCAATGTTAACAGGTATAGATCAAGACTAAAAAGACAAACAAGTATAGATCATTTTTTATTATCTGATGACCCAATTCATCATAACTTAATTTCAATTCCAAAGTTGCTTATCACAGGTGTTGAGAGATAGGTGTAAATCAGTTTACATACATAATAATGTTGCTAGGCTTATAAAGAAAACTTTGTTGATTTACTGTTTAGTACTGTAGTTCATAACTCTCCTACTGTCCAATTCTTAGTATTTTTGTATTATCAAAAAAATAAATCTTAGTATTTTTGTAAAAAAAAACAAGTGAATATTGGTTTGTTGGCTGAAAATAACATAAGCGTGACAGATGCTTGTCAGTTGGTGAGAGTTTTTCCTTTTGAGACGGAGTTGTTTGTGTTGGTAACACGCCAAACGCACATCACTGACAATAAACAGCAGATGCCCCCGTCTAATCAGTGTCCCTGTCTACTCTTTAGCTTTGAAGCCTCCTCTCCTGCGCCAAAAACAAAAACCGATCAAGACACCAAAGAGCGACCCTTGCAGAGAAGCACGGCCGTGTTAAAAATACAACAAACTAGAGGGGTTAACCCGCAAAACCACCCGTCCACGCACGGTGCGCCAGGGGGCCCAAATAAAAAACAAAACAGAGAAAACTCGCCGCCTCCTTGTTCTCTCCCCTCTCTCTCTCTCCCCCTCCGCCTCCGCCTATCGAACTCGTCGAGTGCCGCGACCGACGCACGCGCGCGCGGCGGCGAGATGAAGGTCTCCGTGAAGACGCTCAAGGGCTCCAAATTCGAGATCGAAGTGAACCCCGCGGACAAGGTACGGCCGCTCCCGCCCCGCCTCCCGATCTGTCCGTCTGTCGCCGCGAGGGTTGGCGTATCTGGGCGAGATTTAGGGTGTGGGTTGTTGGGGTTGCCCGCGGGGCTGGGTTGCCGGGCACGGTTTTCGCGCCGAGGGATTGGTGGAGCGCGCGGGGAACTGGTGAGTCGCGAGTTGTGTGCAGCGCGAGCGATGGTGCCGCGAATCCAATATGTGGCTCGTTTGGTTGGGCTCTGCTCTGGGCGGAGCGGAGAGCAGATGCGGAGTTCGTCTAGGGTATGGCCGCGTCGATGTGTAGGTTATGATTGTTTGGCGAATATCCAGGGGTTTGGAATCTGTGAGGCTGTACTGATTGGTGTCTTACCAGATGCACAACCAAACTTGAATTCTGACCATGAACCGAAGTGTAGAAGCTAAGGGTTGCTCGGGTGTGACTTTCTCCTTACAGGCTACAGGTGTCATCTATTGTTGAACCTTTTCATTTGTGTGTGGATTTAACTCTTCAAACTGCAAGCCCCTTAGCTGCAGTATTTTAGTGGCGGCTGGAGGTCTATGGGCTATGCTGTCATAATAACTGCAGAGAATTAATTTATGCAAAATGTAGAATGTAATGCTGGATTATTTTTCTCTCTGTCTGCTAATGTGGACTCTTTGGACAGGAGCAATTGAAGCTTTAGAAATACATACATTTGTTGGCTGGTAGAAAACGAACCTTCTTTGGAATATGTGAACTTCAGTAATCGTTTTGTTGCCAAAATAGATTAGGACTATGTGACGAAGGTGGTTGTTCTTTTTGAAGTATTTTATATCAAACCCTAGGAATGGAATACTGGCATCTATCAGAGGAAAAGCAAAATTGGAGTCAGTATTGGAGATAGGGTTCCGGCTGGCCACATCTTTTTTATCTGTGGACTGTAGCTACCTTTTCTTGGTATGAATGTGCAAGTGCAGTTGCAGTACATAGCGTAGCAACAGAAAGGGAAGGGGCGTTATTAACTAGTTACTGTATTGCTACTTAAAATTTTGTTTCTCATGTATTGTCTATCACTAGTGAAGCAAATAATAAAGAAATATTTGGGTTGACTAACTGAAATGAGATAATATTTATATGATAACACATGGCATCACTTTATGTGCAACCCCCTTATGGGTGGCCCATTATGGGTCACGACATGAGTAAACAAACCGTGACGTTTGACGTTTCACAGTATTGATGCCCAAGTTACTGAATTAGCATACCAAACACAAGTTACATCCGACTTTGTTTTCAAATACAGATACACCACTTGTAAACTATTTGCATGACGTTGCTAAATGCTAGTGCATTTGCTAGCTAGCCAACGGCAGGCGCATGCAGTCACTAACTAACCAAGGATCTTTGCCAAACAATCATAGGTGTACTGGGGTCTTTGCCGTGTGGTTACATGGTATGGGGTTATGTAGCCTTTAGATTCTACCAGCATGGTAGAATCATAGGTCGGCCTTTGCCAAACAACCGTAGGTGTAAAGATATGGGGTCTTTGCAGTGTGGTTTCATGGTATGCGGTTACGTAACCTTTAGATTCTACCAGCATGTGAATTCCTGGTTCTTTGGATTCTGTGCAATCGGAATGCTGTAACTTTGTAATTGATTCATTGATTCAGGTTTCTGATGTAAAGAAGCTCATTGAGAGTTCACAAGGGCAGAATGTGTACCCAGCTGATCAACAAATGCTCATTTACCAAGGGTCAGTTCTTAAGGATGAGACTACGTTGGAGGAAAACAAAGTTGTTGAAAACAACTTTCTTGTGATAATGCTTAGACAGGTACGCATCCTGCTTGATACTAGTTTATATATGTCGTAAAATTATGGAGTAGCATAGCAATGCTTAGAATGATAAAAAATCATAACAATACCTTGTGCATTGGAAGTATTTGTTTCGGATATCAAGATCTTGACCTCTTGGAACGTAATGAAATTCAGTGTTTATTGGAATTGTCTTAAAAGGTGTAGGTGTTTCTATTGCTGATCCTAGTTTTTGTATAAACTTCGTTTTAGTATGGCTACAACCTAGAGTTGCTTCAGGACTGTTTCTATTAACTGATTATAAGATAGATTATTGTTATTATTCCTTCTGACTCTTGACCTTTCACAGAATAAAGGCTCATCAAGTGCAGCTCCAGCTAAATCCAAGGAACCCTCAAATCAGGTGAGTTGGAACTTGATTACACTGATATAGGTTACTCACCGCTACCACTAATGTCTCTTTTTGTTCTTTTAGCGCAAAAAATTCTTTCACCTGTACCATATATCCAAAACTTTGTCATGATTCTCTGGGAGTTATTTGCAGACAGAACCTTTTGCCATATTTTTTCACTGAAACTATGATGGTACAGTTTAAGTTCGTTGTTTCTTTAATTGGCAGAGATAGTTAAACTCTGAGACTACTATATAGTAGAATTAGAATGGCAGATTTTACGAAGTTCTCAACTATGAACTCCTGGCTCGACGTATTTTTGTCATCTGTTTGTGTTTTTTTTCTGGTTAAGTCAAATTTCTCATTTCCTCACAAAAAATATATACTACGTACTATATATGACTTGCATTTATGTGTTTTCTATTGGTGAGATTCTACTTTTTGACCCACATTTATTATGCAGGCACCCCCTACTCAGACAGTGCCTGCTACTCCTGCCTCTCAAGCACCAGCCACACCAGCACCTCAAGCAGTGGCTGCGCCAGCACCTATGTGAGTTTTACTCATATTAAAAAAACTGATTTGATATTTTTAGGTGTATTCTGTTGTGTTCAGGTTTTTTTGGTCTCTTTAAAGATAATTTTTGTATATAAAATACCGCCTTGCCATTTTAAATGACATGCCATGAGATGCACAATTCTGTATTTCTTCTTTATCAGTCACAGAAGATGTGATATTTTAATATCTTGGCATAGTTCCTTTTTAACTTCAGCAGGAGTCTCAAAAGTTTGCTAGTAAATGATAGCTTCCTATCATCGATTTGTAATTTTGCATTATTATTGTTATGCTATATGGCTAGTGGTTGTTGGCAGCTAGATAACCCTATCCTTACCTTTATTGACGTAGTGTACCTGTTAGTGCTCCTGGTCCAGCTGCCACCGCCTCCCCAGCTCCTGCTGTTGCTGTCTCGTGAGTTGATTTATGTTTTTTATTTCATCTTATTTTGATTTGTAATCTCAATTGTATTTTCTATTTCAAGAAGTTATATTACTTCCTCTTAACCCATTTGACTTGATCTTTACTACCATCATTTGTACAGCACTGAAGCAGAAACTTATGGTCAGGCTGCTTCAAACCTTGTCGCGGGAGGCACCCTAGAGGCAACAATTCAGTCAATTCTTGAAATGGGCGGTGGAACATGGGACAGAGACACTGTGCTGCGTGCCCTACGTGCTGCATTCAACAACCCGGAGCGGGCTGTTGAGTATTTATATTCTGTAAGAAGATATCCTCCCTTAGTTTGGTTATGACTCAACTTTCTTCAATATATACAAATAACTAGTGCAGTGAACACATCATGTCTTGCTTACAAATGAGTAGATGACTAGATTATATGATTAGGTGTCTTTTACAAACTTGGCTGTCTTTGAATCGATGTAATATGTACTACAGGAAATGCATGTTGAAACAACTTATATTGCAGATCTCTTGGCTATACAACTAATACCCTTCGATTTTTAATGTAGGGTATTCCTGAGCCGATGGAGATTCCTGCACCACCACCAAGTGCCCAGCCAGCTGATCCTGCCCAGGTTTCACAAGCAGCTCAACCTGCAGTTGCCTCTTCTGGTCCTAATGCTAGCCCCTTGGACCTCTTCCCTCAAGTACTCTCTCTCCCTCTCTCTCTCTCCCCCTCTGTGGTGCGTTCATCTCCTTTACATATTTTTAACACTTGCCCTTTGTACCTTGCAGGCCCTGCCAAATGCTTCAGCAAATGCTGCTGGTGAAGGAAATCTGGATGTTCTACGAAACAATGCACAGTTCCGAAGCTTACTTTCTTTAGTGCAGGCCAACCCTCAAATCTTACAGGTACATATCATGTTGTTGCTCTTTCTCCTGTGTCAAGTAGTCTACTTATGACAGTTGACTAACAGGATCATTTTTCTTACAGCCATTGCTTCAAGAGCTGGGAAAGCAAAACCCTCAGATTTTGCAGCTGATTCAGGACAACCAAGCAGAGTTCCTTCGTTTAATCAATGAGCCAGCTGAGGGCGATGAAGACGAGTATGAATTTTTTTCCATCTCCGTGACGTTTTACTTTGGGCTTTTTTGCATGTTGCTTGACAATCTCATACTTGCTGAACCAGGAATCTCCTGGAGCAGTTTGCTGAGGGAGTGCCCCAGACCATAGCTGTCACTCCTGAGGAGAATGAAGCTATACTTCGTGTAAGCTCATAGATCTTGAGAAAGTTTCTCCACAACTGCCCGCATCTGCATTTCCATGTACTTTGATATGCTTATTTGTGGCACCATGAAAAAACCTCACTGCAGTTTGCATATGCAGCTTGAAGGAATGGGCTTTGACCGGGCGCTTGTTCTGGAGGTGTTCTTTGCCTGCAACAAGGATGAGACCCTGGCCGCAAACTACCTGTTAGACCACATGAACGAGTTCGACGATGGAGCGCCGCAGTAAGACAAGCAGGTTGTTTCTGAATACATGCACAAGCCCATGGGAACAGGGTGTGGGGAGACTGATACTCCTGCACTCGCAGGGCAGGCCTTAGAGATCTTTTTGAGATTTTGTCTCGTCCTTTAGTTTGTAATTCTTTTCTGCCTTGCTATTAGTACATACTCTAGATTGTCTTTAAATGTTAAATCACAGACTTAACGACAGCGTATAAAAAGTTACCTGCAGCGTGGAACCCACCGGGTGGCCTATGTGTGGGATTGAGCCCGTTCTTGTTGCCGTTACCTGCAGCGCCTATATTTGGCTCTCTTCTCTTGGCATGCTTTGATCAGCGCCTATATTTGGCTCTCTTCTCTTGGCATGCTTTGATCAGCGCCTATATTTGGCTCTCTTCTCTTGGCATGCTTTGATCGCTAGTGTTAGTTATGACTGGCCTACAGGGGATTATCGACTTTGTCTAAATTTGTTTTGCACATTAGGAAAAAGCGCCTGTTGGGGCATACAGAGGCCACCGCTTGCAAGCAGACTGAAACATTGCTCGCAACAAAACAAGCTTGTAGTTGTGTGATAACGTATGCAGTTCCAAATTCGTGAAATCACTATTCTTCCATTTCCGGAGAGTCTAGCTCGGCGGACCGACCTTGAACCCCTTTCCCTCGGTAAATTGTCTCCTTGGAGTCTTGCACGGTGAAGAACCCCACCGTTGTCATGCCCATCTCAGTCGAGAAATCGCATATTTGCCACTCTGAGCATGTGGCCTCGCAATAATGCCACACACAAGATGGGCATGACAAAAATGCCACTCAGCTCGTGGAAAAGGGTGGCCAAACGTCTTGTCTAGGTCTCAACCGCGATGTTTGAGAACTTTTATTGTTGGAAAAAGGGTGGAGGAGCAGCGCCGCCGCGCTAGAGGAGAGGGATGCTCGCAGTGGCAGGGGATTTGGCGCGGGTGAAACCATGGCTCTGTGATGTAGGGTGGAACCCTATGTGGACGATCTTTCACGTTTGGAGTGGATCCTACAGGGAAACACGAAGAACGCACGGAAGAACACGAGGAAATCACGGGGAGGAACGAGGAAAAACACTCAACCAACAAGGAATCGGTCACACAAGTGCTAGATCAAAGAACATAAAGAGATACACGAGATCCAAAGTCAACAAAGGTAAGGATACATAGGTAACCGATCTTCTCCGTGAGGAGGCCTTGAAATCCACGAGGGGATCTTCCCACGAGGGGGTCTTGAATCCGATAGGATCTTCTCCGAGGAGGCCGCGGTCTCTCACGAGGAGGAGATCCGGTGGATGAGCGAAGCTCTATCTCTAATTGAGCTAAATCAACGCTAAATCTAACTAGGAGGAGGTGGAGGAGTATATATAGTCTAGGGCCACGAAGGGGTAAGTGAAGGGGTACATGGGCTGCGGCCCAACACACTATGCGCAGACAGGCATCGGACGTCCGGAGGGTTCCGGTTGTCCGGAGGCTCGGGAAGGTCCGGACGTCCGGTGCTCTTCGAACTTCCGTAGATTCGGCTCGGGTGCGCTTCGGTCGGACGTCTGGAGGGGGACGGTTGTCCGGAGGCTCGCGGGGTCTCGGACGTCCGGAGTTCTTCGGATGTCCGCAGATTCGGTTCGGTGGTCGCTGGCACGGTCGTCCGGAGGGGGCTGGTCGTCCGGAGCCTGGGAGTCGTCGGACGTCCGGTCCTGGTCGGACGTCCGACCGCTGTAGCTTCGGGCAGCTTCTTCTCTTGGTCCTTATACTTGGTGTCCTCGCCGTCTTGTCCATGGTCTTCCTCCTTGTTCCTGGTCATGCATAGCACATATATATGAGGTAGTAACCATGTCTCACATGTGGGAAGTGAAGGTTCGGAGAGGAGCGAGTTCACCTCGTGTCCAATGGCGTATAGTTGAGGTCTCGTCATAAGTCCTCTTAGGGTTTGGAGAGTAGTCGGAGTGTACATGGGGATGAACGTGGGATGCTCCGCATCATCCCCCCCTTGGGAAAGATCCGACCTCGGATCGTGATCCTGATCACCATGGAAACGGTTGTTGGGGACGAACTTGTAGTTGGACGGAGTTGAAGACATGGCGCAATCCAAGTAGTCCAAGGTGTCGCCGAAGTGATAGACATGCAAAAAGAGCAAACACAAGCAACACTCGGGAATACAATGGTTAGCACACACAAAGTGTCCATCATGTAAGAATGAGTCCGTGCAGCAAGATTGGTCGTGACAAAGCGCATGAAGCTTATCAAGATGATCTAGAATGAGATGCAAAGCATTCATGGGAACAAAAACATGGTGCACAAAGCGACAAATTCTACCATTGTGCAAAATGATGTCATAGAGAGACGGTTCATCAATAGCATGATTATGGTAATGGATGCTCAATATGATTATGTTATCATGCAATTGATGATAGGCAATATGATCACGATGTATGAATATGCCATCAAGAAAAATCACAACAAATTTGCTAAGAAAATGCACAAGCTCATATATCATGGATGACATGGAAATAGATGCAACAAGACAAGCATAATGTGAGTCAATCCATGCATAGGGTGCAAACTTGTGGTCAGTATGATATGTCCATCGAGCATGACATGTATGAGCACAATCAACAAATGTGGAGGTGTTGGTGCACCAAAGCTCGATGTCGAGGCATGAGTGGAGTTTCGAAGGTGCATCCAACAAGTGCGAGCGCTCCTCAATGTGAAGGCCCATGTAGCCAATCTCCAATGCCGCTCCTCCGTTCACGAGATGTATCATGTAGACAACAAGAAGGAAACAACAATGAAAGAGTGACCCATCCAATATGCGTATTTGAGGATGACTCAAAGAGAAGGAGTTCACCTCAAGAAATTTCCCAAAGATGTTGGAGTTGTACATCATGTATGCCTTCACATAACCAATATGTCGCATAACGGCACCGCCTTGTGAATCCTCCAAAATGAAAGAACATGACAAACACTTGGAAAAACAAATGAGGTTAGCGGACATGCAAAACCTATCATTCGAGTGGTAATATACCCAACAAGTGTATGCAATATGCTCATCATAAGAAGGTACAAGGGAGCATTTCATAGTATGGAGGCATATGATGCGAGAACAACCAAATATAAGAGGCTCAATCAAACAATCATGCATCACAAGTAAAGTGTCCAAGTCTCCAAGATCAATAAGCATAGCAAGTTGGCACTCAATACAAGGTGATATGAGAGATGCAACTAATGGAGACAAGAGGCAATGGTCATGACAAATCAAGTGAGAGGCATCAACATCTATGTCATCAACCCAAGAAAGTAAGCAATAGTGGAACATGGGTGATGCAACATAGCAAGCAATCATAGCGATCAAGTCAAGCATGCTAGTAGTGCAAAGATGCAACATACTAGAAGGAATCATGGCAAGCATGTCATGTGTGCAAATAGTGGGCATGAATAATTCACATTTCATAGCACAAGCATGAAAGGAAGATATGAGGAAAGTAGGTTCATGGTGTTGGCAAGAAGTCCTATGTAAATAGCAATGTAACATCATGACTCTCTCAACACAAGAATCAACAATAGCATGAGGCACATGATAAACATGGCATAAGCAACAAGGATCTCCACCAAGCAAGCAAATACACATAGGGTCAATCATGGGTAGATGCAAGCAAGGGTCACAATTGCATGGCAAAGGCATAGAAGCAAGTATAACATGCAAAGTGAACACGGTAAAATGAACATAAGTGAAAAATGGTATATAGCCCATAGCCGTGTGAGAGCCAAGTAGAAAAGGTGCGCGTAGTCCTTGCGCGAAGGGAACGGTGGAAAGGATAGTCCACGGGATCCCAAAGCATCGTTGCTCTCAAGAGCTCATTTCGTCAACTCTTGGGATTAAGAGGTTGACGAGTATACATGAGTACCTACACAAAACAGACAAAGGAAAAATTGTGTGTGCATGGTATATGTACACATCATCCATCATGATGCGCACGTGCATGTGTCGGTTAGCACAAAAAAGCCAATGCTCAAATAAATGAGATGCATGATATAGAAACATGTCATCCATCATGAGAGGTTTGTTATTATGTACTCCCTCCGTCCCAAAATACTTGTCGGAGAAATGAATAAAAATGGATGTATCTAAAACTAAGATATATCTAGATACATCCATTCCTTCGACAAGTATTTCCGGACGGAGGGAGTATGTCATAATGGAGACTCAAAGGATGTAATGCATCATGAGAAATATCTAGAGCATTGTTATTCATGGAATGCATATGGTGTACACTATCATGGGAATCATGCAAAGTATGAAATGCATCAAGATCTCGTAATATGTATGAGGAAACTATGGGGGCCTCCTCATGAGCATGAGTAGCAACATCACATGGAGAATATTGATAACATCCACAACAATGCATATTTGGAACAATGTGATCATGGTATGGCATAGTAGATGAATTGCGCAAATCATATAAAGGAAGCATGGCAATATCATCACAAGAAAAGCAAAAGCCAATGACCATCATCTCGTCATCTATGCCATAAGTGCAAATGGGATTGATTTTAATGGGGCATGAATAGTTACTATGTTGAGATTGAAATGAGGCAATATGGGAGATCTCACTCATAGCATATGACAAGTTCAAAGGATTGTCAAACATGATGTGACCAAAAGAATTTTCACATGATATCCTATGGAGCATAGCATCACAACTAGGCAACTCAACATGCTCATCATCATATTCATCATAAATAGGTAAGTCAAGGCATGAAGAAGTCTCACTAGCACGAAGCATGGGAATAGGTGGGTCAACATCATGGGAGCAATCAATGTCAAGAGAGTCCACTAGTGGGACAAGAGAAGCACCATCACCTATGTTACCTTTGGAGCGTCGCTCATGTGTTGTAGGTGAGGTGTTGAAGATCGTCTCGTTGTCATCTTCATCTTGATGGAACCATGTGGGGTTGCATCATCGTCCACCATGGCCATCGGTTTTTCCATTGGAGGGATGGACTCGTCGAGGATAGGCATGTCGTCATGTAGGAGACCTAGCACCAAAGAAGCAAACACACTAGGAGTAGAGGTTAAGTCGTTAGAAATCACAATGGCCTCACATGCCGTATCAACTACCTCACTCTCTAAGTGTTGTGGCTCACTCACTCCCTCAAGGATGCTCTCACTCATATGGTTGGTGGAGTCACTCAAATGGCGCTCAACCTCA